TACCCCTAAAACATCTAATATATGGAAACAGATAGAGTACATATATGAATACAACATAATCTCTTTGATGTAACATTTAGGTCACCATTTTTATTTTACTTTCTTTTGTTTGTGTTTACATGCATGTTATAATGATAGGATATTATAACATATAAATGATAATAGAAATGCAAAAAACAAATGTATCTAGAATCTCTATAGTTCTTTTATTATGTCCTCTTCTTACCATATGTAGGGGCAAACGATGCAAATGATGTATGAGATCATAGCACGAGAAATTAGAGCCATGAACCTTGAGAATGTTCACCCGCGAGACTATCTAAACTTTTACTGTTTAGGTAACCGGGAGGAGTTGCCATCTCGTAGAAAATGTGTGTCAAACAACAATGAAATGGTAAATGTCAACTTAGTAGGAACACAATTTTCTATATATATTTTTTTGTTAAGTATTATAGTATGTATAAATTTATCAGGTTTCGTTATCTCAAAAATGGCAAAGGTTTATGATATATGTACATGCGAAGGGAATGGTAGTGGATGACGAATATGTGTTATTAGGCTCCGCAAATATCAACCAAAGATCAATGGCAGGATCGCGAGACACAGAAATCGCAATGGGAGCATACCAAAGTCAACAAACATGGAGCCACAGGAAAAAACACCCTCGTGGTCAAATTTATGGATACAGAATGTCATTGTGGGCAGAGCACATGGGAAAGGTGGATGATACATTCAAGGAACCTCAAAGTTTAGAATGTGTGAGGAGAGTTAATATGATAGGTGATGATAATTGGAAGAAATACACATCCGATAATTTCCTTCCTTTACAAGGTCATCTTCTTAACTATCCACTCGTTGTTGATATCACTGGAAAACTAACTACTTTGCCTGGTTTCGATACCTTCCCCGATGTTGGTGGTAAAGTTCTTGGTACTCGAACCAATCTTCCTGACGCTCTTACCACATAGTTATGTGTGACATTGGTTTCATTGTTTCAAGATGATATTACCATCTAATTGTGCAAAGTATACTATATGTTCGCTACAATTAACAATAATATATGACGACCATTTTTCATTTGTTTGTCTATACCTATATTATAACTCTCGGAAAAGTTGGCTAGAGAACTAAGAATAATAACAATTGTAAGAGTCCCTCATCTTTAAAGTAAAGTGTTTCCAAATATGCATTTTTACAGTGAAATGTTCCTTACACTCAATTTATTTTACATTAAATTTAAAAACTTTTAAAAGATTTTGTTTTCTATGAAGAACAATAATGTAACATCTCTATCTGAAAAAACGCCAAGAGGAAAAAAAATCTTAGTAGGGTAATTCGGACATTTCTATGTGAAGAGCACTCTCATTGCTAGTCTCTTATCATGGATTTATGAAAACTAAAAGGTAAAAAGTATAAAAAATTTGGATGGGTTTCTCCACTATTGTAGATACCCATCTAATAAAATATTAATATTTGTTATGAGATACTTATGGTGGGAAACTTGCAATGAAGGTGCTCTAAAAGGCAAGGATTTAAGGGGTTAGAGAAAGAGCATCCATCGCCAAAGACTAAAGCTCCGAATGGAAAAAGCAGATCAAGCAGAGCGGATCAAACGGATCAAGTAGATCAAGCAGGAAAAAAGCAGATATAGCAGATCAAGCTGGAGAAGTGCAGATCTAACAAATAATGCAGTTCATAATATATGTTTAAATGGTGAAAGCGGATAAATAGTAATACAAAATATATATTAAAATAATTAAAAAAAAACAAAAATTTTGGAATAAAAATCTTAACTAACAAATTATTAAACAATATACATACTTTAAATAAATTACACTAAGTCTAAATATTGTTTAGTTTTGCATATTTTTAACACATAACTTTTTTAAATGTTAAAATTTTACATTTTTTTTTAATTATGATAGCTATATTATTTAGGATCAATTTTCTCACTAAGCAAAAAAATTAATAATTAAAGATCTAACAAAAATTAACATATGTGGTCTAATTGTGTCCATTAGATTTATGTTAATTGGTTAGATTTTTTAGTATAGTTTTTTAGTTATTCAACCCAATTTCTCTATTATTTATTATAGTGGTTAAATTTAATTTTTTTAAATTATGATCACTAGCTTATTTAATGTTCTTACTACAATAATAGTTACTNATAANAATTTATAACAACAAAATATAATCAATTTCTAAATAATTCCTTAAATAAAACGAATTTGGTTATTAAAATATTAAAATATAATTTATAAATGTATAAACTAGAACGGTTTTTATAAATATATTTCAAACATTATACATAAAATAAAATTAAATACAATGTATGAAACAACGTTGAAATTTTTTTATAGAGTATTTCGATTTGTCCATAACATATTTGCAATATTATTCCTAATTGTTGTCATAAGATCTCCTTCTCCTATATTTGAAGTGTTCATGTCACCTAAATCATTCTCAGGATTTGTGTTGGTAACCTCGCCTTGTCTGATTATTTCCGCAAAATCTTCATCTGAAAAACTTGAAATTCTAATGAAATTATGTAATCCCATTGTAACCATTACCACTCTCTTTTGCACGTGAAGATTATATCTATGAAATTCACA